TTGCAGAAAATTATGACCTAGACGTATAATTATTGACATGGAAAACATTCATCATACATAATGTGTAAAACAGGTTACAAACAATCTTTATCATCTTTGAAAATTTTAATTTTATTTATAGATAGATATATATGTATAGAAAATATCTTGGAGAATATATATCAAAATATTAACAGTGCTTATCTTGGCAGTAAGGTGATATTTTTCTTTTTACTTTTTTATATTTTCTATAATGTAACAATGTATTAATTGCTTTATTTTCTTTTGAGTTTAAAAAGAAAAAAAATTTAAAGGCCAAGAAAAATGTATTAACTTTGCGTGGTTAAGTTAGAGCCTTGACATGGGGAAAGATCAGAAGTGACTTACTGCATCTTTTGAATCTCATCTTCGTCCACTTTCTGCTTCTTCTCTTTCTTGTCTTTGGTGTCTATTTTCAGTTTTTTGGCTGCGGGAGTAAGTAGTGACGAGTCTTCCCTTTCAACTGCTCTTAAATCTGAGATGTCCTGACTCTTGAGCTGGAAGATCAAAGAAACCCTATTACATATTTGGCCTACCTTCCAGACGTGGGCAAGGTAAGAAGACATCGTTCTCATCACCACACAACAAATCCACTTACTCAGCAGTTTTTTGGTTCCAGGTACTGGCTGTACCATCAAGGGTAAGAAGTTTATAGCCCAGCTGCGGAAAGAGAACCAGCTAAATACTCCAGCTTTCCAGTTTAACTATGATCATAGCTCCAGAATTTGTTTACAAGGGCAATAAAATGCCAAGGATCATGATGCCGGAGCTCACTCTCCTGACCTCATTCTTGAGAGGCGATGTCAAAAAAGTCCTCTCTCTTCAGCCAGCTCTTCTGTCTCTCAATCTACAGACTGAGTCCATGTGGAAAGAGTATTAAAAAGGAGGCACCTTCTCATCAAAACAGTGTTTCCTTGAATCTGGAACTTTTAAGTGAGCTTCTCCTCACATGTAGTGCTTTTTTCTTCCTTTATTTCAATTCTACTGTATCATGCAAATATTTATTTCCCATTACTAGACTGACAACTTTTTTTTTTAAAGATTGGCAACTGAGCTAACAACTGTTGCCAATCTTTTTTTTTCTGCTTTTTCTCCCCAAATCCCCCCAGTACATAGTTGTATATTTTAGTTGTGGGTCCTTCTAGTTGTGGCATGCGGGATGCCGCTTCAACGTGGCCTGACGAGTGGTGCCATGCCCGCGCCCAGGATCCGAACCGGTGAAACCCTGGGCCTCCGAAGGGGAGCGCAGGAACTTAACCACTTGGCCACGGGCTGGCCCCTAGACTTTTTGAAGATAGGTTTATCTCTTATTATTCCTCTTTCCCCACACAAGCATTTAACATTGTTTTACTCATGCTACATGTTTAATGTCTGTTTAATAACAATAAAAAAAATCAAAATCCAAACTTCATCCCCTCCAACTTAAGAGAGAATCTAAGGATACAAAAAACATCATTAATGGGATTTAACCTCTAGTTTCCTTAAAGAGGAACTCACATTTAAACTCATACAGGAATATGAGGGGTAGGTGAGCGAGAAGGTAGTATACCTTTAACGACCTTTTCAATTTCTTCTCTAGTCACTGATTTATACAAGTTTTCTGACCTCTTTGTGCTTCAATTTTGGTGATTCATTTTTTCCTTAAAAATGAGCCATTTTTCTTAGATTTTCAAATTTATTTGGCCTAAACTTGAACATTACATTTTCTTATAACTTTAAAGATTTCCATATCAGTGCCTTTGGCCATTTCTTATTTCGTAATGTTTTGCATTTACATTTCAAATACTCAGGTCTTTCTTTTATCATTTCTTATGTTTTTAAGCGTTAACTCATTAATATTTACTTTTATCCTCATTGAGTCCTTGTTTCTATATTCTGGTTTATTTTGTTCTTTTTCTGGTTTCTTGAGTTGGGTGCTTATTTTTAACATCTCCTGTTTGTTAATAAAAATATGTAAGGATATGAATTTTTCTTTAAATAAGGTTTTGGCCAAATCCCATAGGATTTGATGTGCTGTTCTTTTTGTTAATTTCTTTAATCTAAGGGCTATTTAGAAAACAGTTTAAAATGTGCAGGTTTCCTTTTTGAGGAAGAGTGGGGGTGGGAGAAGCTTTTTGTTATTAATTTTGGGTTTATTACACTGTAACAAACAGGATGTGGCCTATTATGATTTCTACTTTTTAAGAATTTATATTTTTATTTGTGGTCTGGTATATGATCAATTTTTAAAATTGTTTCAGAAGCATAAAAAAAAACAATTTTATCTTCTGTTGGGTGCAAATTTCTGTATGTAGTGAGCTCTCTGTTGGACTAAGCTAATTATTATTCAAATCCTTTTTGTCCTGCAGAGATCTGCTTTAAAGGTTCCTTCTTAAAATAGTTTTGTGACATTTTTCACTTTTTCTATAAGTTCTTGCTTTATATATTTGGATGCATGGGGCCAGCCCAGTGGCGCTGTGGTTAAAAGTTCACACATTCCACTTTGGCGGCCAGGATTTGCTGGTTTGGATCCTGGGTGCCGACCTATGGACCACTTGGCAAGCCATGCTGTGGCAGGCGTCCCATATATAAAGTAGAGGAAGATGGGCATGGACGTTAGCTCAGGCCCAGTCTTCCTCTGGGACTGGCCTGAGTTAATGTGCATGCCCATCTTCCTCAGCAAAAAGAGGAGGATTGGCGGCAGATGTTAGCTCAGGGCTAATCTTCCTCAGAAAAAAAATATATATATATATATATATTTTTTTTTTTGATGCAACTTTATGCTCTGAAAGGTTGTTTCCATCTAATCCAATGTCCTCCCCCATAATCTCTTTAAGTCCCTTATAGCTCAAAGACCCCAAGACTCTATCTCTAGAAATCCAGCCCAGAGAACGCTGAGATTTTGGTCCCCTGACTGATGCTCAGCTAGGCAACACCGCTGAGCTCTGAGGTAGCACAATTAATGGGTTTGGTGTGTTTATGCTAATAGAGACCCTTGGACATTAGCACCCAGGTCACTGGTAGCAGTTAAATGTTTCAAGAAGATAAAAACGTGACTAAACCAGTAACCCCCTCAAAGTCTCCCTTTAATGACTCTGTGGCCTATAACGACAAATTTATGCTTAAGCAACATCTAAAAGAAAACATATTGCGGTGAAAGGGGTACTAGGAATCCAGGGTTCTAGTTCTGCACTTAGTCTCAGCGTGCCCTCAGATCCCAATTTCCTCACCAGGAGAACCAAGAGTCCATTTAAAATTCCCTTAGAAGCAGCTTTAACACCTAAGGGCAGGGATTAAAAATATTAACCCAGTGCTTGGGTCTCTGGAACCGAACCAGCACTATAGTTTTGTCTCCTCCCTTCAGTCGCCCCCGCGATTGCAGATCTAGAGGGAGTCAGTGATTTCGAGTTACCTTAGCTCAGGCGGGACCAACTAGGAAGCCGGTCGAGCAGCCAATACCACAATCTCGAAGTACTCCTCCGGCCTCATCCCCATATCCCTCCCTACCTCGCCTTCCTCAGCCGCGGCTTCTTTCAAGTCTCCATCCCCGTCCCCGTCAGTTTCCTCCGGGATTCCGTCCGTGTCAGCAGCCCCGGGCCCCCCGGGAGCAGCGGCCGTCTCATCTGACTCCCCCGTCTCTCCACCTTTTTCCGCGGGCGACTCGCAGGCATTATCCATCGCGGCTACAAGGAGACGGGAGAGGAGATCGCGGCGCTGTCAGGCTCGGGAGCTCGAGCCCGCGCGCGGCACATCGGCCCAGGAGCTTACTTCCTGTCGTCGCGCTGCGATGACATCACCCCTACTGCTCCTCGGGAGGGTCATCGTGAGGCGCGCGTCGAGGACTTCAGGGCTCCGTTTTAACTCTGATTTGGTGGCGGTGCGGAGAGGGAAAATTGAGAGTATGGAATTCACTTGGTGGATTTTCCACCCTGCGAAACCAGCATTTGTACAGGAGAGCTGTGTTGTTTACTGAAGGACTTCATTTTCCTTTCTGCCTTTCAAGAACGCAATGTCAGTTAACTCCTTCCTTAATCCGTTTTCCTCAGTCAAGTTCGGGGACCGGAGAAAACTCAATCCCGTTGTACGCCCTTGTCGCGGGATGCGGCTACCTGGTAAACCCTTAGTCGGGAGCTCAAATAGGTTTCAATGGACGGAGACTGCGGGCCTGTGTTTGCATGGAGTTGCCAGCGTTCCTCTTCTGTTCCTCAAGCACCTTAAAAAACAAAAACATATAGCTTGAACAGAATTTATCCAGTCCACAACTGTTAAGCGCCTACTTCGAGCCAGGAACAGTGCTAGTACCAGAAACAAAACAGATACAGTTTCTACTCAATTAAATGATTTTTCCAATTTACCAGTACTCAAGATCAGGGTCAGTTTCACAAACCTGACTTTTTATGTCAGTCTGGCTAATCTCATCAAAAGAAAGAGGAAACAAATCCTACCGGGAGGGAGATCTTTCCTTTGAATGTTTCACATTAACGAACCGTTTCGGGAATTGAGAGCACGAAGCGAGGATATTTCTATTTTAAAATTTTCCTCTCTTGCCTCATTGAGGTACGGAGGGGAGTATTTTACTCACTTCTGTATCACTGGGGCCCCACACCCATTACATGTTCAATTCTTGCGTGCTGAAAGAATGCACTTGGAAATGCAGGTGCGCGTTACCATACTTCTCTCTTTGTTTCTACACAGCCTGGGTGAATTACCGTATTTCCTGTCCTGTGGGCTCCCAAAACCTCGGAGGAGGGAGCGCACTTCGGGAGGTGCATACAGGTGTGCTCAGTTCGTCCCTTTCTCCCTGTACAGCCAGTGCCCACATGGCGCCGTCCTCTTGCCCCTGGAGGCCTAGCTCCTCCCTGGGGGGTCTACTTCGCCCAGACCACAGCCACCTGCGCCCGCCCGCCGGGCCCCGCCCAGCTAGGTGGGCACGGGGGCGGGGCGCGGGGGCGCGGTGACGCGTGACGCCGGATCCCGGAAGTGACGCGTGCGTGGGGGGGGACAGGCGGGGGGGGAGGGGGGTGGTGTCCCCGGCCGGTTTGGGGGGTGCGTTGCCCGGAGACGGAAAGTTTGGGAGCCGGAGCGGGCTCAGCGGCGGCCCCGGGAAGGGCGTCCAGGGGGCGGCTGCCCTGGGGATGGGGAAGGAGCAGGAGCTGCTGGAGGCGGCCCGCACCGGGCACCTCCCGGCCGTGGAGAAGCTGCTGTCCGGGAAGCGGCTCTCCTCAGGCTTTGGGGGCGGCGGCGGCGGGGGCGGCTCCGGGGGGGGCGGCGGCGGCGGCGGCCTGGGCTCCTCCAGCCATCCCCTCTCCAGTCTGCTCAGGTGGGTAACGCGCCGGGGCCGGGCAGCCGCCTGGAGACCCCCTCTCCCCCGCCGGTCTCCTGGCTCCCCAGAGAGGTCGGGGCTCCTGAGACCCCGGCGGGGTGGGTTTGCGGGGCTCCCCGGGGCGAGGGCAGGCGGCCCGCCGACCGGGGGCGCCGGTGCGTGTCCGCGCGGCGCCGGGCTCTCCTCGTCTCGCGTCCTGACCGGCTGCGAAGAATGGTGGGAGTGCCCAGGTGGCAGCCTGCGCCGCATGGCACAGCCCGGCTTCACCCGCGCCCGCCGTGGGGTGCCGGCGGTCGTGTCTCCCGAGCGTCTTGAAAGCAAAAAATGTTTGTGTATTTTTTAAATCTCCCTCACCTCCTGCAGAAACTCCCACGCCTTGCAGAATCGCGCGGCTCTCGGAGGAAATTCTCCTGATTTCCTTCTTTTGGGAACTTGGAACCTTCCACCAGGCTCTGCAGGATCTGGCTTTTGTTGTTTATATTAAAATTGCCTCTGGATTTATCAGGTTCCAAGTGTTCTTTTTTGAGCCCCTCTTGTGCTTGAAGCTCAAATTCGAGTTCCTTGTAGCGAACCTCCTTGGCTTAGTCGAAGTGGCATATGCAGGATTCATCAGGGGGGTTATTCATCAAGAATAAAGCTTGAGAAAGACTTGTTTAGGAAACTGAGGGATGCCTTAAACTTTCCCAAGGTCTGTTGTTAAAGTAAACACTTGAATCTGGAGCTCTGAGGATTGAGAGAAAAAGGTTACTTTTGTGTGACTTGGAGGGAGAATTGGAGGTGCTTTGTCAGTGTGAGTAAAATGTGTTGGTTCAGCAGCACTTTCATAGCCTGTTTTCTTTTCCTTCCTTGTTCTTCTGAGGTTTTTAAGAAGTGGAAGTTCATTTAGAAATGGCTTGGTTTGCTTTTGTTCCCCATTAGTTTATGTAACTTCAGTTTGAGTGAGCTTGGAGCAAAGAAGCCCAAGGCTCTAATAAATCGTTAGATATTAAGCACTGAGTACAAACCCAGGTCTATATGGGAAGATATTAAAAAGCAGTATAAGAAAAGAGCTCTCCCCACGAGTTCTTTTGGGGAGGTGAAACCCAGTACTGTTTGCTGCGATTTCTCCAGCCTCTAGAACAATGCTGTCACATAGTTGCTACTCAGGATTTGTTGAATAAAAGTATCAATTAGAGGATGATAAATTTCGGAATAAATTGATAGTGGTCCTCACTGTCACTGTTAGTAGTTCAGAGAAATGAGACATCGCTTTGGAATGAGATGGAGATCAGGGCTTCCGGGAGGAGGGGACTACAGCTGGCTTTGAAAGATGGGAGGATTTGGGGAGGTGAAGGACGATGAGAGTGTTCCAGGCGGGCACACGATGATCAGAGGCACAGAAGTGGGAAAGGAGACTTCTTTGGTGCCAGTGCGGCACTAGAAGAACTTCCTGCCTGGAGCCTTGAGTGGTTGGGCGTGATATAGGGAAATAATAATGGATGGGCACACTTCCATCGTTCAGAGTGACTTAGTCTTTCTCATGTTTATATTCCCGGTCCCTGGGTCAGTGCCTGACAACTCAGAGGTGTTCAATAAATGTGCTTTGAATGCATGAATTGGGTTTTGACTCTTACCTGGATTACCTTGATATTTCTGTACTTCTGACGTCATAGAGATGAGAAAGACTATTTGAGTTTGGAGGTGCCTGTCTCTAATGAGGTGAATGATGTAGCATTTGGAGGTTTGCCAGAGATACCCTAACTCCCCTCATATCCTGCTAAAGGGGGATGCTTCACAGATCTCCCGCCTTCAAGTACAAGTCGAGTTACTCTTAGCGCTCTCACTCAGAGACTGTTGAAATTTTACTGAGGATTTAACTGCCGTGTAGTTAAGCAAGACTAGGAAATCTTTGTTGAGCACACTGTTTTGACTTTGGGCCTCATGCTAATATTCCAGTCTGTCATAAAGTGTGGATGGTGTCTCCATTCCCTTGCGTAAGAGAGCTGGCTCCTCCTGACTTGCTCTTGTGTCTGTTGTAGACGGTTGATGGCCTAAGAGCTGCTGCAGTCTTTCATCCCTGGGACTCCTAGGGGCAGGGAGGACCTGCAGGCACTAGTTACACTAGGTGTGTCATTAATTAGAGGTGACTGGTTCAACCTAGTAAAAGATTTCTGAGCAAATAAGCCCATGCATTTAAATAATCCCTAGGTCATCATGTCCTCCCTTTCCAGGTTTGGAAATAGGGGATGGTAGGTCCCCTGTGCCACACTCCCCACTCAAGGTCATTTAGTGAGAGCTGTGGAGTCAGAGCTCCAGATTTCGCCTTTGCGTTAGCTGCCATATCCTAACCCCACTAGTACTGCCAACTACAGCCTACGTTTGTCCAGCTGTTTGAGTGACCAAGTAAAGCTGGCGGGAATAGGAGCTTACAGCTGCAGTGGATAGAAATGTTCCAAACCACATGTGTGTTTGTCTAGTCATCTGTTTATGACTCTCCCCCCAGTTCCACAAAGGCTTTGTGCTTATTCTTAAGCTACAAAACGCCCTCTCTCTCACCCCATCCCTTTTCTCTTATACTGCTTGGGCTTAAGTCTTAACTTCTTAAAGCCCTCCCTAATGACCCGAGTACACACAGATCTCTCAGCCTTCTACTTCTTTGGAACCCAACTGTAGTGTACAATAGCTCATCGACTCATACTTTGCTTGCCTAGTTTTCACACTTTATTGCTTTGGCCTGTCAGTGTAATGTTTACGTAGAATATACCTGAGAATCAGAAAGTCAGCAAAGAAGACTTCTACTAAAAAGACAAAGTTGTTATAAACTTCATGTCCTTCTGACCTTCACTTATTTACTGTACATTTATTCAGGGGCAGTATAGTGTTATGCTTAAGACCACTTGTTCTGGAATCAGACTGCCTGGATTCACATTCCACTGCCACCGCTGACTAACTGTTTGACTTTATACAAATTACTCAAATACTTTGAGCCTCAATTTCTGCATCTGTAAAATGGGGATAATATCATCTGCCTTATAGATATTGTCTTAGACAATGTGTGTAAGAAACTTACCACAGTTTCTGGCACATGATAAGTGCTCACTGTTAGCCATCCTCAGTTTGATTCAGCACATACAGTTTTGCCATGTGGCCCCTGCTATGTGTGAAGGACTGTGCCAGACACATTTTAAATGATGTTCTTTTATGCTTGGGGATTTGTTCACCAAACTGTGGCAGATTAGAAACAGTAAATAAGGGAGAGGACCTGCTCGGGTAGGCACATTGTTGCCATTCACTTACCAAATGTTTACCCATCTTCTACTTTGTGCCAAACCGATTGCTAGACACATGGCAGAGTTCATCTCAGACCTGGCATATAGTAGGTGCTCTATCAAAATCAGTCTCTCTCCCGATGCAAGGCTGTTCCCCTACAGCGATTATGGCAGTGTGGTATGTCTGTGTGACAGTCTGGCAAAGTAAGAGATAGAAAAAGCAATTAAAATCTACCATAATGCCCCCCCCCCCCCCCCAGTGATTTGAGATTATTAACCTAGATGTACACTGTAGCCCACCAGATCAGGTTAGGCCCCAAGCATCATTGCTTTATAGCTTAGTGCCAAAATCTCTGTTTATTGTGGCTTAGCCATCAAAGAAAGACTAAATTATGTTCAATATAGCTTGTTAATGAAAGTAGGAAAAACGTATTTTAGATTTCTATCCAGAATGATCCAAATATAATTTTTGTTATTTAAAAGGATAAGCAATATATTGATTATCTAGAAAGCATAGTTATCTAAAGTGTTCAGTCCTACAGAGATTCTGGATTGCATGGATTTTGCTTTCTATAATACTGTCTCATTTTCTCTTTGTTGATCGGATGCATGCCTTCATGTAGCCTGGGACGTGCACTGTAGTAGACTTCTTTTTAACTCATGGCATTTTTCAGCTCTGGGCACATTGCAGGCACTCAAATTCTCATGTAATGGGGAGTTTGATACGTTTATGGTTATAGTGAAACTATTGATTTCCAGAAAAGCAGCTTCTGTATGAGAATACAGTAATATTTGGGTTAAAAGTGAATTCTGTCAATTAAAGGGCAAAAAAGATCTGAGAAAAGGAAATGTTAAAAGAAAACATCATATGTTAGCTTAAAACTATGAATTAAATTATGAGCTAAATACTGACGTATGTGACCGTGAATGATGTGCAGTGCAGTGCACTCCTGAGGGTTCAGAAGCATAGAGAAGCTAAAGCAAAGGCCGTGATTGAGGAGTAGACTGTGTCGTGGTTTAGGAAAATTCTATACTTAATGTTTTGAGCATGAGAAGAATGAATAAGAAAAGAAGAAGCCAAGGGGGCTTGCTGGAGAAACCTAAAAATTTATAGACAGTAGCAATAAGTGTGGCTATAAACTGGTTTTTACTCCACCATTGGTGGGGGCCGGGGGTGGGAGAGACTATCCAAAAACAGCCAAGAGTTTCCCCAAAATATGAAAATGTTCTGAAATAAGGGATGAAGAATGAAAATTTTTGAAAAATGGACCCCATTTTGGGGACAGTAACACGTTCTCCCAAGTGTCAGAAGATATGACAAGTTATTCGTTCTTTTTAAGAAAGATACCTAGTATTTATTTAAGGAATTCAGACTTAAAAAAAAAAAAAAAGACTGGTTAGCATAACCATTGTATTGAACTGGTCCTTAATTCACCCCCTAGAATGGATCTGTAGCTTGGAAATTATGCAGACATGACAGTTTTTTCTCATGCTGACCCTTTTGCCCTCCTGTGCCTTTTGAATCTGCCTATTTTGAGCAAAATGATTTTAACATCCTAAGGAAGAGGGCAGTACTGACCATGTAAGGACTGAAGAATGGGAGTTCCTGGAAGCAGGATCTCATGGACTTGTCTGATTTAAGTTCCTGCTCTTCTAAGAGAATGCAAAAGCAAAAACAACTATCCACTAGGATAGCAGTTTTCTGGATCTTCCACTAGACCTCAATTCGTTAAAAATGGTTTTTAAAGA